GTGTGTGTGTGTGCGCACGTGTTGGGAGGGGGGGTAAACACAGAGATTAAGCGAGTCGAGTTGAATGGGTTATTAGTGGATAAAATGAAGCAGTCGGATAATGAAGATTGGGTTGAGACTTGAGAGAACGGCTTTGTGCATTTTTGTCGTGGAGGAGACGACACGGGTAAAGAGACAAGGAAGAGAGCGCAAGACAGGAATGAGCAATAATGAGATATAGGAAGAGAAAGCAAGGCGGGATGAACAAGAAAGAAGAGACGGAAAACAGAACATGGCAAGAGCAGAAACAATGGCAGGGAGAAAAGAAGACAATTAAAGGGAGATGGGATGGAAGAAAGACAGAGAGGAGGAAAGGAAAACGCAAAGACAAATGTGTGTAAATGAGACTGATAATGGGAAGCAGTGGTGCATGGCCAGGATGATTGTTTTTCAGGGTCCTTGCCAAATAGAACAGAGGACGTGAGAGGTGGTAGTTGAGTGGAGGGGGGATTCTTTTCGATGGCACTGCTTCGCTGATGACACATCACCTTAAGAGGCAGTGATGGCTGCTGTGAGGAACACCTGCCTCACTTGGATACGTATTGATCATACCGGCGAGATGACAAGAGGCCATTATAATGGCGCAGAGACAAAAGATGTCCCCTTTTACACATTCCCCGGTGTGAGACAAATGGTTATGGTGACAGTTTTTGGATGACTCCTGAAAAGTGAAATGGTGAATTTTAAAGTATTGCAGAATTGAATAATCATTTCAGATGGACACAGAAGGAAAACTAGAATGACAGCCCCCGGGGTTGTATGCCTCCGCCAACCAGTTAATATCTATGTCCGTCCAGCCTCATATAATATATGTAGTTTAGACTTTGAAGGAATTTAGTAAAATATATTGTGTATTAATTTTTCCTTCTTTAGATTAGACTGAATTGTTACAGTGCTCTCAGGGAGCTCCAGGGTAACAGCCTGTGACTGTTCTAAGGCAATAAGTTAAACTGTGCCTCTTTTCTGACTAGACTACGCAGGTCAGCCTACAAGGTTGAGCACCCAACGTATCGCAGTTCCACTTTGTTATAGAAGAGGTTGAGAGATAAATCCAAACAGACTGTCTCCTTCTTATAATGTGTTGTACGTGACTATGAGTGTCATTCGGTGTGATTTAGGATAGCTTAGATAAGTATAGTTACATGTTTTGAACAAATACCCAGTTGGATCCTCACACATATTTAGCTGGGTAAGTTATGGCCATATTTGGGACACTATTAGATCTTGTGGGTCTAGGTTTGTGTTAAATATCGCCCGCCAGGATATAACCTTCAGAACTGGGTTGGCACCTACACAGTGACTCCACTTGTACGGCTGTCTATATCCTCCTCGATCGAGCTTCTATAAATACTACTGTGCAAGTCATCAAGTTAGAGAACTTCTTCAATTACAAGTGAATCATCTATCACAAGATTTCCTTCTCAGGTATAAAGTGTATTTTCTGGCTAAATGCTTTCATTTTCTCCCGGCATTTTTAGATGCAAAGCCTATAAGGATCGTGATTAGCTAGGCATGCTCCAATGTGTTTTCTGAAAGGCAGAATGGATGAGATGGAGAGATAAAAGCATCTACGATGCTAGTTACTGTTAATTAATCGCGTTGTCGCAGTCAGCCTGGTGTGAAATCTAGAATCTCTCAATTCATTCTGAAATTATGAATAAAAACCTATTTTGGAGGTCTCAATGAAGTTGACCTTTTGACTATCACCGGCACGGAGGCAGAAAAATGCATTGGATAGGACCAGACTGGAAGGATAATGATAGTGCCAAATGTAATGTATAAAAAGGTTTTGCAGTGTAGTACCTGCTGTGAAAGAAGACACATTTACATAAAGAGGCTGACAAACATAATTCATTATGATCTGAGTATCATCACTGACCCTCCACTCTCTTTTTCTGTTTAAGTACATTTCCTAAGTACTTTTGGCTCCCAAATATGTACTGTACGTTCGAGGATGTCAACTCTCACAGTGACACCATCAGCTGTTTGGTTTCACTCTACTGAGCCAGTACACATACACAGAGCCAGTAGTAGTGTAATGGGACTTAAACTGTAGACACAACAGGCATGCTCAGCCGGCCACCTGGACACTAAACTCTAGGTCATTGCCAGATCAGTGACAGTGAGAGTTCAAAAAAGGGCCACAGAGCTGCCTGCAAGCACACTCAAGCATAGTGACTCACACTACCTTCAAACTGCATGTAGAGCTGCATTCATGCACGATTTGACAAAATGACATACTGGGATGTCTGAATCCTTGGACAGATAAAAAGGTCCTTTCCAGCCCGGCAGCAACTATACTGCCAATCTTGTTTGCCGTGACAAACAGCAGCAAGGCCTGGCATGACGAAATACCTGCATCACTACTTTTACCTGGATGAAAGCCTCCACCGCGCAACATGTCTTTACGCTTGAGCGTTAAGGGAGATCAACGCCTTGAAGGTAAAAAATAAAAAATGGACAAATAGCCCACGAGCAACTATAACCACTTGCCTGTGGCATGCATAATGAAAGCTCTTCTCTGTTCACTTACTGAAATACCCTTGGATGAGGACAGTTTTCCTCCTCACCAGCCTGTCTAATGTGTGGTGCTGCTACCATTCAGCAACGTTGTGCCTCTGTGGGACTTTACCATTGAGAATTTAAATTTAAATTTTATAATCCTAAAAACAGATACAATAGGATACGGAAAACTCTGAATTTCAAATATAAATTAAAGATGGCAAACCCAAAGAAATAATGAATAAAGTCTGCTGCTTCTCACTTCTAATTGTCTTCTTTTATGACTGCAACTTCCATTTGTTAATTGGCTAGCAGAGTTTTGCAGATTCTATAACAACCATATGTTTAATTTGAAGACTCGCATAAAAAAACATCTTTATGCAGTCACAGGTCATGTAAACAGCATCACGTGACAACCTCGATTTCTGTGACAATCATTTCTTTGCATTTCTTGTGTGGATAGTCTAGTCCTAACTCTAGCCTGAATCTGGTACTGTGCCTGTGCAGTAACTGACTTGCTGAACTATCAGCTAAGACAGAGCATTTATCCTGAATGCTGATGAGCAACGTTGTACGGCCTCTGAACACACGTTAGCATAAATCTCCTGCTGGTCTTGCACTGTTTTTAGCAACAACAACTACACAGCTGCAGTTGGTCAATAACAGGCAGGTGGCTTATTTGTATGACTCTTCTCTAATTCCAATAGGATTGCAGCATCCTATCATTTATAAATCTTTTTCTAGATAATGGCAAAGTCTCTGAGCTAAAAAAAAAGTCATGTCCTTGGCCAAAGTAAATTGTGCAGGAGTGGTGCAAATAAAAAGAAACAAAGAAGTTTTTACAAAGAGCGGGGGAAGGCCCTGCAGGTGGAGGCAGAGGGCTCCTTGCAGGTTCACTTCTAATAAATAAGAGCTGTGCAAGCTGCTACTTGCAAATCACTTCTTTACAAACAATTCAATCTTTTGCTTGATCTTTTACACTGATGAAATTCTGAATTTCTTTAACAGCAATGACTGTAATTTCTTCACCGTAACCAGCCAAAAACAGCTTATGCCACTACACTATTCATTCCTCTCCACTAGTAAGTTCAAGTCACATAATGCCCACCTAGAGAGTGGCCACCAGCATGGCACTGACACCCACCTAACTGAATACCCTCATTCGGTTTTATGAACATTTTTGTTCACTACATTCACTAGAAACGACGACAAGTGCTACCATCCCTGTGAGGCAGGAAATCTAAATCCAAACTCTTCTCCTGTCTGGTCCTTTTCTGTCTTCAAAAATCTGCTTACCTCTTCCCTAATAGTACTTACCTAGTTCTTTCCTTTCTCTCTCGACACCCCTCCCCAAAAATCATATGTTTATTGTACATTGTTAATGCAATTGAATTATTTCAAAATATTATAACATTCTATCTTTACTGCAACATTCCCTTAGAGCATTTTACATCAAATGTGTTTTGTGCTGCACTTAACTTGTAGATGTTGCATATAAATTGTCTTTACCACCAAGCGCAACCTGCCTCTTTAATGTCAGGAGAAACCTGGTTTTAAAGAAGCTGATTGCTTCCATTTTCAATACGCTAGTTATCTGGAAATATTGAGCTAAGTTTTCTTTCCACATTCTATTTCACATAAATCCTGTTCTGAGATTTAAAGTAAAAAAATAAAGCATGTATCATTGAACAGATACAGCTCAATACATAATGGAAAAAAAGGAAAACTCAATACTTGTCAAGGTCAATTCCAATAACTAGAAAAAAGGGGATGCTGATAGAAATGTTTGCAAAGCAGAGCTCTTCAATTTCACACTAACTGCGGGGCTGTAAGGTAGCTGCTGATGCAACTGAAAGAAGTGGACAGACTGAGGTTCAGTGAAAAGTCTGTTTCAGACATCTTGCAGCTTGAAAAGCTCTTTCCTTCCACCTGCTGTGGAACACTGTTTCAAAAATTCTCCTCTGTCAGCTGTGGAATTTCTTTGTTCTGCCAAGGTCTGCCTTGCAAAACAAGGATAACCTTTACAAATCATGTTTTAATCAGAGGGGGGAAATATTTTTGTTATATACAAAATAAATCTGAACTTGTTGAACACAGCTGTTGTAAATGTTGTAAATTCAAAAGCTGCCCTGTAGGCAGGTAGGTGAACCTGCTGTGTTCACTTCATGTATTTTAGAAAAGTAAGGTAAAGTGGGAGGGGTGTATTCAACCTTTAACCTAGTTCTTTTCAATTCTACGCTTAAAAGGTCATCTTATTGTGAAGGTTTTACAGTGCAGCAGGCTTCTTCCTGGGCTCCACATGGTCCGCAAAGATGCCCAGTGAGCCATTCAAGGCTTTGGATAAATAATTCAACATTTGAGGCCAAGTAAGATTGAATATAGGGCTACTTTTCTGGCTACATAAAGCCCAGCCCCTGAAAATAGAAAAACACACTGAGTCTTCACTATTGGGGTAGAAATGTTGGCAGCATTTGTTCAGCTAAAACGGATATATAAGCCGTCACTTCATTATAATGACCATGAAACACAATATCAGAGGTGTACATGAAATGACATGTTTGCCGGTATTACACTTTCATGTACAGTAAGATTCTGAGGTGTACATACCCAGAGGTAGTAGGTGAATTGCAGGGCAAAGATGGCGATGCCCTCATTGTCAAAAGAGCCTGCGACGGAGCGGGAGATATAGCCAGGGACAATGGCAATGAAGCAGGCTGCCAGCAGCCCTGCACCCTGGTTCCACAGCTCCCGGGTCAACAGGAAGGTGGAGATGGCGGTCAGACCACTGAACACCGGTGCAAGAAAGACACACACGTCACGGATGTGGACTGTAATGTGGAGCAGGTTGAGCACGTAGTGGATGAGGCCGGCAGTCACCATTAACCCTGGGTATACCTGAGTGAGGGGGCAGAGAAAGAGAAGTTGTGAGAACAAAGAAAGCCCTGAAGGTTAGGAGGGATGAGTATAACAGTTATGTGATTGACAGAAAAATAATAAGTAACCATTTTGATAATAAATGAATCTAGTAATTTGATTACCAAACATTTGATAGTTTTAGTTTCTTAAAATGAATGAATGTGCTGAGTGAATTTTATCTTTTATGAATCCATCAAAACTGAAAGAACCAAATGTGAATTCTTTGAATAGCTTGTTCTGTCTGACTAATTCTCCAACACAAAAGACATTCAGTTTGCAATTATGTAAAATAGCAAACCCTTACAGTTGTGAATCTAGAAGCAGAAAAGGTTTGAAATGTTTTGCTTAATGAATTACTTGAATAATTAGAGCATTGTCAATAAATGTTGCCACGTATGAGGTTCTTCAACAGAAAGTTATAATGAACCCTCCACTCAGTGGAAGCTGGCGCATGAATATGCGAGGCCTCGTGGCCCTGTCTCGTCTATACACGAGAGCAGATCCAATTAGGCCCTCGTGCAGTACACTGGCTATCTGAAGTAAAAAAAAATAAAAAATAAAAAGCACGGCTGTGTTTAATGTGTGAGTGATGTCCCTGATGTCCCTGATGTGTGTTCACTGTAGCCGCAGTCCATGCGCTTTGCCTTGCTACTAATAAACTCAGGTCTACACATCTCTAATTAGCTGGTGCCTACGAGTCCAAAGCATCATCAACCAATCTATTTCAATGAATATCAACCATGTCTTGCCTCTCGGCTCTGAGGATTGGATGTCTAGCGGAGCGGTATCCTGCCATTTACAAAACTACTCTTGTAATTATTAGCCATTTTGAACTCTGTGGTAGGGCCCAGGTCCTCAAAACATTACAGAGATGATTGAGATTCTTCATTATAGCCAAGTATTTTAGAGCTTTATCTTGATGGATAAAAATCTCTGTGCATAATTTTTTAACACTTCTCTCTCAATCAGCATTCGAGAATGCATTACATAGCTTGTTCATTAAGGAAATATCATCAACTACAACTGACAAAAGTAGTTACCAAAAATGCACTTGAGTCTTGTCCTTATGGCAACAAAGAGTGGCTTATTGGCTTGACAGCCCACTGTTGTTATGGACTGTCACATTAGAGGATCCTTCCTTATCTGTGGCTCAGGAGAAAGAGCAACTGACAATCGTCCTCTGGGGAATGGAGGGAGGGTGGGAGTGAAAAGGGAAATAAAAAAGGGAGAGGGCAGCTGGACGGGTCTAGGCAGAAAGGCACTAAAGTGTCACATTAACCGATATCGGCTCGTCTGTCTTCCCATCGGTGTGACCCATCTGAGTGCTTAGAGACTTAACGCTATCATACACAATTAATGAGGACTGTCAGGATCATCTGTCGGATTTTGAACAAAAAAGGAGGGGCGCAGTTAGGCTGAGGATAAGGATGAGAGAAAAGAATGGAGCCATAGTCAACTAAGATATTAGAGAAAGGCAGAAGCAGGCGGCAGAGGAGAGATTATAAAAGATAAAGAAGTTAGAGAGAAAGAGGAAGAAAAGTGAACTATAGTGGATGAAATGAGAGAAAGGGTGTGTTAAACACAGGCGGGTAAAAGGCTGAATCCAACAGACAAGAGTCTTGGTAACTGCTGCCTGATAGAGCAAAGGTGGTTTTATGAACTTAGCCTGGAGCTAGAAGGGTCACGGACCACCAGCCTGCATGAGAAAGGAGACTGACATTGTTAAAATGTCAGAACAACAGGTCTTGGAAAACAACAAGGGCCAATGTAACTTTGCAATTTCTAAACTATTTAAGTTTTCTAAACAAAGGCCATTGATGGTCACTACATTGTGGGCTATGAAACAGACTGTGCCAATTTGATATGAACCTAGCACTTGCCCACACCCCTGCATGTTTTAAAAGCATAGGCTTGGTGCAAATAAGAGCTCTCACACATTCATTTTATGATTTCGAATGCAGTGTGGGAGTAAACTAAATGCCCTTCTTCCCTGAAGCCTGTCTATGTTCAGAAATCATGCAAACAAGTGGGATTTTGACAATTAGCCTACACAGTAAATGAGTGAGTGGCTTTGTGTTACTCCAGCAATTACCATCATGGTGCCCTTGAGCAAGGCACCAGATTATTCTGGCAACCAATCCCACCTCAGCCATTCAAGTAAAGATACAGCAGGTAAAAGTCTGAAATGAACACGTATCCATGACTGAGCCAGCTGGTTGAACCTCTGCAGTAGCTCTGTCACATCTTCTCTATGCATCAATTCCTAGATCTTGCTCCATTTTGCATAGATTTGCATGTCAAATGGAGACATTTGCATTTAGTATGGCCAACAGAATGACCCACCCACCTGCTATCGAAATACCTGTGAACTCTATACGGCAGACTGTGGTTTACCATCTGGCAATAAACTTCTTCCCAGTTAAATACGGTTGTTAGCAGACCTAGCCTGTTAAAGAACAAGGCTGGCAAAATTCTAAATATCTTATTTTCAACATATCCCATGAAAAGACTTAACCCAACAAGGCTTTCTGTGGCTCCCAGCCTTAAGCCCATTGGTTCCTACTGAATGTGTAAATCTTATGAATAAAAATCCACTATAATAAAAGACAGCTGGGTATTTCAGTGAACGTTACTCAAACAGAGTAAATAATGCATTTGCAAGGGAATATTTTCGGCTGTGGATTAATACACAGTTGATGAGCTAGTGATTATGACAGTAAAAGTGGCTGGTGAATAGACTTGGGTGGCATCTATTTTCTGACATTTTACCAGGGCATACAGAATTTGCCAATATTTGTGTAAAACTAAAAAAAAAAAAAAAAGTATCCTGGAGACTCCAACTATTGAGAGTAAGGCAAATAAAACAAGGTTGTTTTTTTTAAAGGCATGGCAAGACTTCGTAAACATTATTATGAAGTGCCACAAGAGCTGACAGCATCTCACTTGCATGGCAGCTAACAGAGTCTTTGCCATTTTGCTGTTAATGCCAGTTCATTTTGGTCTTGGGGAAAAACAAGACATAAAATCTCATTTAACTTTCCTCTCTGATGTCACACCTGCTCTGCTGCACTGCATCCTTCTCCAGGTCAAATTACTTAAATTAGGTTAGCAACGTGACATGTAAAGAAACCCACTGGTTCCAAAACATTGTACATTAGCTGATTCCAATATGAACAGGATTATATAATCGTGCCTTGTCGTTTTTGAAATGACAAAACAGCAACAACTTCTCTCAGTGGAACTGGTGTGGAAACAATCATCTGCCGACACTGTTCAAGATAATATCACATTATGCAACGACAATATAACAACCATAATTGCTTGGTAATTGCAAAGAGACAATGCCAGACATATCCTGGCCACTCATCCTCTTTGCTCAGTCTTATCTGAGTGGACCATAAACTTGAATCTGAATCTGAGATAAATGTAAGACGTTACTTACAAAAACCAAGCTCTGAGTGACACAGCAGAAAATCTTGCATGTCCTCTTTTTCCAGATTTCTCTAGCTTGAAGATAGTCTGCCGAGCAAATCAAAATATTTAAGTAATGTTCAACTGGAAAATTAAATTACTTTCATGTCAAACTTAATTTGAGAGGAAAGCACCCACGTGTGAATAACTCGTTATTTGTTGTTTCTTTACTCATACATTCATGAAATGTCAATACAAGTGTACAGGGGAAAGATGTGAGCTGTGTTTGCTTTGTATGCCTATTTGTATGCAGAAGACAATGCGCTGTGCAGCCTAGGGATCTTGTAAATGTCATGAAAATTAACTTTAAACTATACGCCTTCCAATTGAGATTACCAGTCCAATCACGAGTTTCAGCTTCCACTCTTTGGCTACAAGGCCTAACACAAGTGGCCATGTACTGTAACATAACCAGCACATCCATTATTACAAGCTAGGCCTGTCATATGCAATTACCAATTGCTGATGGTAATTGCCTATGACAGATGACTGCTGATGGATGAGTTTTGGATTGCAATTCCTCGTGCCTCTTGTGCCGGAGTGAATACTATATTCAAACATCGGCATGTAGCGTGGCTACAGCTCCTGCCCTGCACCATCTGCTTGGTGCTGTAATGATAACGGCATCTGATTGCAATGCACAACATTAACATGCCTCGCTGTCTCGACTGTGCAGAGGAACTCTCCAAACAGCCAGCAGGACTGAGTTTACACTACACAGAGACAGGAAGAAAGAGAGAGAAGGAAAAAGACAGTCATGCTAGAGGCACCAAGGGCCAGGCTCTTCCGCCTGTCTCTCAGCTGGCCTTAATAATGGAAACATGTCGGGATAATTTTCCCCATTTATTTGGCACTGAGGACCTGGATTATGTAGTCCTAATGCATCATTAGCTAGTGCAATTACAGCTCAGAGTGCGAACCTGGTGGGTCCGTGCAGCTCGGTCAAAAAGAAGCTTGGGTTGTTAAAGGGTCGAGGGAGACGGATAGGCCAATGGTATTTTACTCACACAGGCTTCACATCTCACAGGATGCAGGGCTGAGAAGATGAGGTTGGGAGAAGAGATGCACAGAGGAGGGGAGGTGGGGGAATGGGAGATAAATTGCGTTGAATCGGCACGTTGTATTTTTCCACAGAAAAGGGTCAGTGTTGCTGGTAAACAGGGAAGCCATGGCAGCGGAGGGGAATCTGTCAAGTTAACAGCTCACTGTTGCTACTGGATTGTGACTTAAATCCATGCTGCCTGGCAAAGGCTTATAGGGCTCTATGGTATCCCCACACTGCCAAGCCTAACCCCAGACAACCCCTATACTATCCTAACTCCCACACACACACTACAGACTCACCACTGAAGACACATTTTTCTTGCATTAACCACTGATGGGGACATAAATACTGACTGCATAACAATGTCTATAAGTAATCCCATGCTTGTGAATATTTACAGCAAGTATATAAATCCATGCTGATTTTCTGGTCAGACATGGACAAATTTATTGTTGGTTACTTTTCTGTGGTATGGCAGCTGTAGGTACCTTTATATGGTAAGTATGATTTAAAGCATAATTAGATGGCTGACTGTACTCACTGATGGGTCAACTGCAGCCAGTTTTGTGCTACGGTTGCTCTGATTATCCCTTAATATAAAACGGATTGAGACTGCAGATTTCCCCCAAAAATTCCTGCCATGACGGATCTAAAACTTCTTCCATCCGTGCATCCTTTTTTTTTTTTGCCACTTAACTAGGTCAGAGTCACAATGGCAGCACACTAAGCAGGGTAGCCCACACTTCCCTTTTCTCCAACTCGCACCCATGGGGGATCCCAAAGTATTCCCAGGGCAGGTGGGATGTGTAATCCCTCCAGCATCTTCTAGGTCGGCCTGGTCTGCCTATTTTCCCTGGTGGACAAGCCTGGTCTATCTCCATAGGGAAGTGTGTAGAATTTTTAAATCAGATTCCTAAACCACTTCAACTGGAACTTTTTAAAAGACAAAAGAGCTGTGGTTCTATGCCAAGATGCTTCTGTATGTCTGAGCTCCTCACTTTATCCCAAAGGGTAAGCCCAGAAACCCTTGGTAGTGAAACTCATTAAAGCAGCTTGAATCTGTGATCTCATTCTTTCAGTCACTACCCAGGACTCCTGACTACAGGTGAGAGATCAACTACTAAATCCAGAGCTTTGCCTCCAGGCTTAGCTCCCTCCATAGTGAAGTACAACACCCACATCACTGGCAATGCTGTACCAATTTGCCTGTCGATCTGAGGCTTTATCTTACCCTCACTCGTGAACAAGATCCCAAGTTACTTCTACTCCATCACCTGGGCCAGCAACTTGCTCCCAAGCTAAAGAAGGCAATCTAGCAGAGTAGCGTGGCCTCAGACTTGAAGTTGCTGACTCTCATCCGCAGCGCTTTATAGTCTGGCTCAAAGCAAGCTAGTTCACCAGAGGTCACAAGTTTGATTAAGCCAACACCGCCATATCATCAGCAAAATGTAGTGGTGCAATCCTGAGATAATCAAAACAGGAAACTCTCTACACCTCAGCTGTGCCTTTAGATTTTTACAATTAAAACCATTAAGGGAAAAACCTAATGTCTGAAAATATCTTTGACTTATTACCATGGATGCATACACCGGTCTCATTCTGGCAAACGAGTATGGCACCAGTGGCCCTTGCATATCGTATTCCATAAGTGCTTCCCTACAAGACACCCTGGTGGACAAAACACACAATTCAATGGACAAATTCCATGACCCCTGCAGTATTCTTCCAAGATTAAAGAGGTTTCACGACGAGGGCGGAAGCTGCACTGCTCCACCTCATTTTGAGTTTCATCAGTCGGCTGGAGTGTCCTTTCCAGCACACCATTTTCCCCCTTTGCAAACCACCACTCTCTCTCCGATTCCGTGAGTGTAAGTGCCCCGGCAGAATTATGGACTCCCCAGGCGATGCGTCCTTCAGGCATGCACCAGGAGACTACAAAAGGGCCAGAGTACTGAAATGCACATTTGCCTGCAAGCTCAAGAAATCTTAAAGGGCATCTCATTTATAATTTATTTTATTTCACTTCACAAGAACGTTGTCTTTAAGTAAATGTGTATTCCTCTAAAGATACCCTAAAACGGATGAACAATGAAATGAATGAGCAAAAGTGTAAAGCATGCAGCTTGACTCCATCAATTTGAGGAGACACTTACTGTGCCACCAACGATCCTGCCCAGGGGATACCAGGCCCTTTCATCAAACCAGTTGAGGAACTCGAAGAAGCCATTTGTGGTGAGGTGGTGCGTTGATCTGTAGTTGAACCTGAAGCAACAGAATAAAAAGAGAAGAGGGCTGGCTGAGTAAGGCAAAGTAACAACCACACACAGAGAAGGAACATCCATTTCCAGTTATAGACCATATTTTGCCAAAATGTTACAGCTGTTGACAGACCAAAAAACACTCAACTGTGGGAGAGAACAGGTTATTTTATTTCCAGATTTTCTGAAGGCGGGCTGAATGGGCAGGCTGCAGAGACTTTGCCTTGTTAGAATAGGAAAGATAAAGCCTCCATTCACTATGTGAGCTTTTGTGCTGATGCCAACAACTCTCAGGTCAGCCCTCGGTTAAAAAATGGAGAGATGAAGGGCTCTCACACATACTGTGGCATCTTTCAGAACAAAGCTAGCTTATTGTAGATAATTCCAACTGCAACCACTGGCATGTGCTGGGGTGACAAAGGCATAAATGGGTATGGTGTCTGAACAGAGAATAGCAACCAAAAAAAGAAAAACAATGTTACCCTGAGAATAAATATAAGGAATATCACTGCAAACAGGCCTTGATTCACACTGTAGCTGTGGTAAGCGGAGGGGGGTTGGAACGCTGTCAAGCAGCAAAACCAAAGAGCTGACACTGTTGAGAAGACTGCTGCCAAAGAGAACGAAGCAGTGCATTTTCAGAGGCACTCTCTTCACTGCACAGCTTATTAATGTGGGCTGCTTTATGGTATGTTCAGACGCCCATATACCTCATGTAAGACACTTCATGCATAGAGAACCTATAGCAACGCAGAGCAGCTTGCAAAAGGACAATTACCTGTTCTGGCTGTCTCTAATAGAGATGTATACCACAGAGAACAAGAGATAGCATCATCCGTGTGACTAATCGGTTCTTTTACACACTAGAGAGGTTCTCTGTTTCAAACTATATCAAGTATAACAATATCAAACACCAACAGACATGGCTAGGTTGCTGTAAGCCTTAAATGTTGCAAAACAATGCAAAGCCACGTTTGGGTGTTATTTAGCTCTAACAACCATCATTTTTGTTTTTATCTTTACTCCAAATGCTTTCCTCAAGACCATACATGCAAACGTGGCTGTTGTGCTGCAACAGCCGGTGGAGGAGCCTCAAAATGCTAACGCTGCAAATTTGGAAATATAAAATATTTAGATATTTTTATCTGCATATAAATTGGGGATCGGCGTCACAATAAAGTGAAGAACAATCAAATAAACATGCATGTGGCAGTTTTTATATTCATGCACATGTAATAGCTCAAAAGAATCTCTTAAATTAAAAATGTAATCAATTATTCAGTGAAAAGTCTAGAAGCCTATGACACCCAAACAGACAAAAAATCTGAGTGATGTTGTGGTAATAAAGGCTGTTGTTAATTGTGGACTGGAAAGAAATGCCTCAGTAACACAGGCCTGTCAGCACCTCCAAACAAAATCAACAGCATTTCCTCGCTTCCAACTACTCCACAGCTTGAGATTCAGCCGTACTTATTCAGTTACACAAGTGTGTGTGTGTGTGTTTTTTTAGTGAATGCAAGTGAGAGAGGGGGAGAGGCAGCAGCAGAGTTGTCACAAAGCTGCTCGAGTGTGTGCCGCTTACACTCATGATCAGGAAAGTGTGTTTAAAATTGCTGGCGTGAGGTGCAGCTCATTAATCATCACAAGGTGCCTGAGTTTTCTACCACTTCCACGACACAACCTGAAAGCCTCAGCTCTCCTCCCGCACGCAGAGCCTCCTGCCTTGGCTCATGTTTCCGGAGAGCACGAGGTGGACAAACATTAGTCATTTCAAACCCAGTACTGAGAACGGGTCTCTTGTGTGCATCTTGAGCACCATGTTTCATTTATAACAAAATCCACTTTCCCAATATTTTTATTTTATTTTATCCCCACTTCTGTCAGTTTAAAGAACATTTCTAGGTGAATGGAACAACTTCAGAGACCCAAATTTGTTTGCGACGCGTGATACATGTTGTGTGTTTTATATGCAGATATACAGCTGTCAGGTTCAATACATTTGACAGCTTTCACTGAAAACCAACAAGTTTCCATGATATTTTTAGGATATTCTGACATTTTATTGATAATCCAGGAATGGAAAGCAATTTTCAAACCGAGTGACTTTCCCAATTCCTTGTGACGGCAGTTACTCAGTACATTTACGAGTCAACAAGAACAAAGTGATCGGATATTAGATGTGCACTATTCTCTATGCCTTGGATGAAAACAGAGAAAAAAAATATAAAAAATATATAACAGGTATTGTGCCTCTTAAAGTGATCTTGAAAATCTATTGAGGAGCTGACATGAGTGTACAAACTCATAGCTCAACAACCTGAGGCTTGAGGGCCTGAATCAGGGCAAACTACAGACTAGGACAAACAAACCATCCAGCTGGAACGCAAGACTCATGCAGAAAGGAATACATTGGCATTATACTTGCATCTTATTTGGCATATAAAATTCACCAAATTCACCTTGTTCATCACAGCTTAGTACTTCCATCCTCCATAGCTCATACTGCACGCAATTTTCAGTGGTCTAGACCAGTGTTTTTCAAAAGGGGGAGCTTCGATTTGAGTAAAGTTGAGGGTAAATGATGCATACAAAAATAAAAATAACAATAATCATAACAAATAACTATAATTTGTGCCTTTTTTTGCTAGCTTGTTTGCTTACTAGGTTCTAGCTATGTTGCACAATGCTTATAATGGAAAACAAAAATATTGACTGTACATTAAAGATCTGATTCCACCAATAGTAAGGACTAAGGAAATATATTTGGTATTTTTTTTTCTTTGTTTTTTTATATCTGCGATAGTTTCCTGTTTCCTTACATAGTGAGGTGTGCAAAGAACCACAATGTTACAAAGTGCAAAGCTACAGAGGCAGCCAGGTGTGAGAGGTTCTACCACAGTGGGACTTTGAATGCACGTGGAAGGAGGTGGTGCAAGCTACTTCTGCCTCATTGTTTTGCAGCTGTCAAATCAGCGAGGCAGAAACAAAGCAAATTCAAAGAAAGCATTCTAAAAGACAACTTTGTACGCTGCCAAGCCACATCCACAAAACCCGTTTTCCAATGATCTCATGGACAGCCGAGCGGAGTGCTTTATCCCTGCCCTTGTCACTTTGATGGGGCGGATAATGTATCTCTGCCAGGCACATTAGCAATTTAATGCATAGCTGCCAATATGGTCTCAGGCCAGAGAGCACATGACGACTAGTGCCGCTGCAGCACCTCGAACTACCAGCCAGTGAGCTTAAAGCTGAGGAACATCATAAAAAGCAGCACTCCTGGATTGATAGCTAGGAGGACGATGGAATATGGGCCCATATTTTAACCCAGATAATATCTCAAAGCAAAAATGAAAATTAGGAGTGGCATATTGTGCACTTTAGATCACTGGGGGTGCCCTGCAGGCATCATAATTCATTTTAATCAAGGTCCGTTTCACTGATGATCAGTTTCCTGTTGAGACAGGGCCATCATCATCAGCATGACTAAGTGGGCAGCATTGCTGTTTACAAGCCAGTAATGCCTCATTCAGTATCGACTTCATAATCAGATGCATCATTGCCTTTTCCCCACTGGTTCGCGATATGGTGAATGTCTAAATAGACTTTTGGTTCCAGGGGTGTAATCACCACCTTGACTAATTAGCCACCTCTGTCAAACTCTGAATGAATAACCTGTAAATGGGAGCATGCTTGGGGACCCAGAAGGCAATATAAACTTGCAATATAAACTTCACACAATAAGACATCCGTCAGATAGGCAGGTTTGAGCATCGGCAAGGTGTTTGGTTTTTTTCTTCCGAAAGGCAGCTCTTTCGAAAGTCTATAATGGAAGGAGCAGACCTTATGAAAACCCATCAGAAGGTCTAAGGTCAGCCATGACAGAAGGTTCCTCAATATATGAAGGGAGATCAAATGTATATTTATTCTTGCAAGTTTAAACAAATTAAAAAGTAAGATAAAGACAGTGGGCAACCAAGCGAGAGAAACCAAACTACAATTGAGCTTTATTTGCCAATTATTTCAATGTTACTGAACGACGGTTGCTGTGTCCATGGAAGTAGAGTAGAGGGCCGATTAGGCTTCCAGACAAGCCCTTTTCTGACTTGAAAAGGGTACGGGATTACATCTATGTGCAGCCTACACAATTTGCCTTTTAATAGCCGCCAAATAGGATTTTCTGGTTGGATTACCTGAGAATTGCAAGATAGGTAGGTTGCAGCCACACTGCACACTTTACTATCCTGCCCCAAAACTAATACCTCCATCCTGGTGGACAGGGTCACACTAACTGGCTCACTGGACAGCTGCCAAAGCTCTAATAGTGCTGAGTGTCCAGCATGCCTGCAATCACCTGACAAGATGAGGCATCCTGGCATATCATCCAATGGCTCTATCACTTCATTTGAAAGGTGGTGTGTGTGTGTGTGTTCCTGCTTGCTCAATGACCCAGTGAGGTAATTGCATTCTGTGGATGTGTGATGGTAATATTGTTCACATGCGACAAGACATGACTTGGAAAAATCTGAAACTAAACATTGGCTGTAATTACTAGGCTGCCAGAATATGCAGTAGGTTCAACGAGGCACTGTCTCAGTTGATGCGGGGTTGTTAATAGAAGCCGCAGCAGCAAAAACACATGAACAGTATCGTTAGGAAATAAATACAGAAATATGCAGCTAATTATTTTACCAGGTCAACCATTTCCAAAAAACCCAAACAGGCAAAAAAATATAATTATCCTAATTTCAATGTGTGAACATTTGCTGACACTGCAGTGAGCATTCCTCTAACTGAATTTTGAGTGCAGAGCTCATCTTTTGAGATAAAGATGTCCAGGAAGAACCATTTAATCCTATTTCCAATGCTACTGGAAATTAGGCAATATATTAAAATTGTTTCAATATTAAAAACCCATCCTGCATACTTGCTCCCTGAAGAGAACAAGACTGGCTCACAGCTCTGAAGCCTGCTGGGCTTTCTATCCTTCAAAGTCAAAGTCAAAGT